AATTGGATTACATTACGAAGAAAATTATTATCTATGGCTTGTATTCCACGTTGAGAACACCCTATGTATCAGGTTGAGCAATCGTTGTATTGATCATGTTAATAACCCACATGGGGCTACTGTTAATGATCATTTATTTATGGAGAAGTATATCCTACAAGAGCTAGTTCTAAAAAGATGACATTCAGATAGTGTTATGATAAGTATGATTATGTTCGTATAAGATCTTAACCCTTTATCTATTACTCTTTTCATTGAGATTCAGATCGCAAAATAATGCAATCTCATTCCTTGGTAAACATTGTATTTTCACGTATCATAACACAGAATTCATTATTTCTAAGGATGCCACAGGTATTCAACGCTTTTACACGTAACACCTTTATAATCAAAGCATACCAACCCAGTCAAGTCAGAAGTGAGAGGGTTCGAAGATTTATTTTGAAAGCTAACAATATGTCGAGAAGCGTTTGGTCTAAGCTGGTTAGCAATTGCAAGGCGACGTACTCACTCGTGATATGGTGCGGATGTGTGACCGAGTACCTTCAGCTAGGTATTTACAGGTAGACTAATAAGTCTGGGATCAATGTTGAAGACTTACAGATCTATTTATTTTAAGTATTTGTTTACCATTACAGCTTGTTCACGAGTTAACTGGGTATGAGCTACATTCTAAATTTAAGGATTTGATATATCGAGTTAGTGAAATTCAGCTTACCAACTAGTAGTTCCAAGGAATGTCCAATCTGTAACTTAGTAGTCACGAATGGAACAGTTTCAAAATCAGAGAGAAGGCAATCGGGAAACTTGTAGGTTCGCGTTTGGAATTCGATGTAGGCGCTCAAAAATAACCAAACCACTTATCATTAATATACAAACATCATGAAGGTTTAATATTCTACCCGGTTGTTCCAGACGAAGTAGAGAGGGGTTCAAACGTAATGCACTAGTGTGAAATTATATGATGAACGCAGAATATTCTACTCACTGGTAACAAAAAATAATTACCGTACTTTTGTTTTGAATCAAGCAGTTCCATGAAACAGCTCTATGCAAAAGTTTGGTTAGTGGGAAGTTCAGGAGTACATTTGTTGTGATGGATATGTTGAATAAATTGACTAAATTGCACTCAAGAGTGTAATGATTGATCAATTTTATTGATTGTTCTTAATCCAAAGGTATATGGACATCGTACGGCTAACGTATTTATATGGATGATTACGAGATGAGACAATCACAATATAAGCATACTTCGTTACAATCAGAAGTCGGCTATAATAATGTATGACAGGAATCCTAGCATTCAAAAACATTGGAGTGGATATTAAACAACTCTGGGAATTTCATTTACTATAAAAGCTTAGAGATAAAACAATACGATCACTGTTGGTGATCGTTTTTTGTAACAAATCTAATTATCACATTTTTGTAACCACAAACGAAACAGCACTAAGGCAAAATATGAATAACCACCGTCATCATAGCTCTCATCATCAAAGCATTTGGATTTATTTATCTTTAGTACAAAAAATGTGCCTTTGAAATACGGTGAATAATGCTACTCTGGACATTTATTAGTATCTCGTTCAGATAGAAGTGAGGGGAAAAACTGCAGTTTACTATTAAATTCTATGGTAAGATAATGCAATCGAGAACTAGTTAAATGTTAAACATGAAAGGTCTCTGAGGTAATTGCATTGCCTCTCTATTCACATTTATATAAAAAACGCCGACAAGTGTGAAGATGCCACAGGTATTTGGAGTTTGACAACTCTCTAACCAGTAACACCTTCTACTATGAATCGTACCCACCAAGTGAAATCAAAAGAAAGAAGTGAGGAGGTTCGAAAATATATATTGATAGGCTATCAGTATCTTGAGTACGGCGTTCCCACTCGTGATCTGGTGCGGATGCATGCCCGAGCGCCTTCAGCTAGGTGAGTCCATTAAAAATAATATGTTCAGCATCCAATGTCGAAGACTTACAGAGCTATTTATTTTGGGTATTTATTTACCACTAGAAGCGCCTTACTAGCGTTGTAAACAAACCTTTAAAAAAGCTCATTCGAAATTGGGTAGACAAATCCATAGAAATGTATATTTGATTATCCTTTGCAAATAATTATGACTTTCATAGCATCATTCTAAATTATTATTGCACAAATGTTTATACTAATATCAAGTTTTACTCTGTATCTACGTGTATTTACTCGAGTGCACTAAAAAGTTTTTTTAATTGATGGTGTACTTCAGAGGTCGATATTCACTACACAATTATTATTATTATCATGGTTTAACCCTTCTACTACCTGTTCATTTCTTTTCTCTCTTTTCCATCTAAATAAATATTATTCTTAGGATTACGAAGTTTGTAATTAGGACAATAACTTGTGTTACATTCAAATTAAGTTTTCAGACTCGTTTTATATTTACTATGCATATATGACTCCTACATATTGATATTTGGTTCTCCTTTTCACTTAATTGAGACTTTCATAGCACTACTCCAAATTATGACTGCACAAACATTTACTCTAACGTCACATCTTACTGCAATGATAAGCTATTGTCCTATTTGTTTATTTTGTATTTGTTACTCATTTGGCGATATATACATAGTCGTTTATTCTGGGTTCATAAACACGCTTATTAAACTATTTGTGTATATCACGTCTCCTTCATTTCTATTCCCTTATTTTCTTCGTTTCCCTCTTTAAACTCAGTTTAATATTCTTCTCAATCACACAGAACATGATTTATTACTATTACTTTTTTTAAATATGGCAAATATAATGCTAATATTATTGAAACTTGTGTATTATTGCATTTTTGAAGAAACCCGAAATGGTTTCTTCATAACACTTATGTACCCATAAAATGTTTGTGAATAATAATAATAATGAAAGTCCTTTTTCAAAACATACTATCGATCTCTCGGTGTTTAACCAATACTAATGATCGCGGTATACATCGTAATGAGGTACTCGACTAAGAGAACTTATGTAGAAAGGCTTTATAGCTATAAGTTCCTTTGAATTGTATTCAAGTTGATGTAAATAAGTGTTAAAACGGTCAGAGTTTCCTCGTCTACATGAAAGAGACGTTAATTTGCCGTAGATGAACATCTACACTAGATTCATTCTCAGTATCTATTTTACAGGACTTCAACACAACTCAGATCAACAACATGTAATTAGCCTGACCACAACGTAAATATATTTCCACACCAAAAACCGACACAATCAATAATAATGATAGGAAAACATATAACTCGTCTAACGCCTGTCAAACTATCAACATATCTGACAAAGCATACAACCAATCATTATCATCCTCGCCCACACATCACCTCACTCACGAAGTTTGTTCGTGTGACTTCACTTTTGGGTCTCTGGAAAAAATCTCGTTTGTTTCCGTTCCCTTGATGACCTTCGGCTAGCTTCTGACTTCAATTCGTTTCCTCTCATTTCAACTTGTGGAGGTGGTGGAATATTAAATGTTTCGCATAATATTTCCATTGGCAAAGGTTTGGGATTCGATGACCCACTACAATTTCCTTTATCTCGCAGTTTATTTATATATCTAGTAATTAGTGTATTTCTAACCGTCACTTCATACAATACCTCCTCACATCTTCTTTTTATGCGCCTAAATATCCATTTCGGCATTCATGGACGGAAATCAAATGCATAAACTAAGTCACCTGTTTTATGCTTTGAATTTTCGAGCAGTTCCCTTTCTTGTTTTTATGTAGTCCACTCGTTCTGTCTTTCGGGTTCAAAACACAAAAAACGTCCTAATTGGTCGGCCAAGTATTATTTCTGCTGGTGATATACCGTCATGACAGTTTGGATAAAGTGTTACTCTACAAGATTAGAAACAGTTGCTTCTATGTTATCTTCTCCTCCCATCTTTAAGAGAGCTCACCTGAGAACATCAACAAATTTTTGTGCTTGCCCATTTGATTGAGGGTGGTACTATCGGGTTCTAATACGTTCGATTCAATTTTGTTTGCAGAACTCCGCAAACTTTGACGATGTAAATTGCGTTCCGTTATCTAAAACCAAAACATTAGGTGTCCCAACACTACCAAATAGTTGTCTGAGATGTAGACAGTCTTCGCGTAACATAAGTTTCAGGTCATTTAGAGCATGAATCTGCCACCACCAGAAAATATTGTCCGTTTATTGGTCCAGCATAATCGATGTGTACTTGGACTCAAGGCTTGTTAGTCTCTGACCATGTCTGGGCTTCTATTTTTGGTGTATTCAACGGCGAATCCCACAAACCAAATTTACCTATTCAATCAATACCTAATAAGTTAATAAGAGTTCCCAGATATAGATATATAACATTTTCCGGTCAAAGTCTTGTCACCTAATCTGAGAGGTAGCTGTATTTCTCCAAGAAGAGTAATATTAGTTGCATATTGTACAAACTTCTGGGATTATTGTGATTGGTTATTTAACTAACATAGTGATCGACTAAATGAGGTAAAAACAATCAGGGATGAAAACGTCATAGTTGCAAATAGTCTACTTACTTTTGTACAATTCCATTTACACAAACTTCAAAGAAAAAATCTTTAAAGCTTGAAAGATAAGAAGACAGTAAAAGTTGAAGCGATGCCAGGTTATGTATTTAGTAACGCTTTCAAGGTCTTCCAATAATTTAGAATACCTTCATCAATAATCAAACAAGCATAACACAAAATGGCTCCAATTACCAACAACAACAAGACTTGTTGATGACCCTTAAGATCTGTGACAATAATCCAGTTTGCGCTGTCATTTTTCCATTATAATCAGTGTACTTTGTTGACTAGTCTAGTCACTAACAACTAACATATAGTTGTATTTCTATACACCTCTTTCGGCTTTTATACTATACATTTAGACAGAACAAGAAAATCGCAAGTCTACACACTATCGAATAGTTTCTTACATCTTTGAACACATCCTGATCTAATCCCTTATGATAGCTAATAAGACCATTGTATTCGAAAACTATTTAAAACGAAGGAGAGATTGTGACCTGAAATAAAATATAGTCAAGGACATTAACAATCTTCTTTATAAAAAGTGATATAAAATCAATCAGTTTTAATATTAAACTGAACAAAAAATATATGTATGTTCACGAATGATAAAAAAACTAGTACATAATTAAAGTACTTTAAGAGGAGAGCAAAGACTCGCCATTTAAAAACAGACTGGTAAGTACAATAATTAATAATTGTTACCGTGAAATAAGAGAAACAGATGAGCTGTCCGTGTATGATCCCCGAAAGACTAGTCAAAATCACAGCTATGCATAATGTGTTTATACAAATTATTACTAATGAGTATGATTTACCTGTCACTTAAATTGAAATAAGCGTCTGTTAAGAAGTTTCAAGGGAAAACAAATACTACCAGCCAACTACGCTATAAGGTAATAAATCACTTAGGAAATTCGTAGGCTTCAAATACTTGCTAACATACGGATAATAACGATGATTTTCGTAAATGAAAAGACACGGATGCAAAAAGTGAATAAAAAAGACTTTCATAAAACAAATAAGATAAAAAGACGTATTATTCATTAGGCTTGAAAAAAGTGTTTGTAGAAGCAGTTGAAGAGATTTTGAAGGGTTGGCATGTTTAGAACTCTTCAAACAAGCACCTAAAGCTCGGGACTCCAAAAATAATCCATATTTTTAAGTGGATGAAAAACAAATTTTGCACATATTCACAATAAGTTTTGAGACAAAAAATGAACCTACTCTTGATGCTTTTCTTGCTAAGATATCTTTTCAGTTTGATTTCAGTTATGTTACAGATGAGAAAAAGAGAAACGTTATTTGCATACAACGTACCAGTGAAAAATATATGGTTCATAGAAGCATTACATGAAGGTAACCCAAAAGAGTAAAAACTATAGATTTACAATACTAAAATCAAAAAATGGAATGAAATTAAACGGGTGTCAAAGAATGATATTAGTGGATGGTACATATTTGAATCGAATGACAGTAAAAATGAATAATTTCGCTTGCTGGAATGATAATGGGGGTAAAACACGACAACATTAAGAAGTATTTTTCAACTTTCGTATATAACCGGATGATTTTAAACTGTTTAGGATATCATTATTATCTAAAGAGTTTGCTGATTCCGAAAGTAACTCTTGATGTAGGCAACTTACTGCTTCCAAAATTCGATCTGGTAAATGATGACTTAACATTTTCGGGTGGATTAAAATCGTTTGAAATTGTTGTGGGTTCGACCAGACACCAACTATCGTTTTCCCCAATTTACGAGGTTTAACACAACTAGAAGTACACCAGATGAAATAAAAAAAACAGGAGGAACAATGAGACATCTCAAAGATAAGGCGCTAATGAAGAAATGATTCATGTATACTTGAATATGGCTATAAGAAGCTTAAACAAAAATGGTGATCGTAGTATACACTCTGAAATAGTGAGAATTGATTTTTAGGCGAATCCTGATTACATTTAGTGCATCGTTGATTATATGTCGAAATTCCTCGTCATCTTACTTAATAACAGTATAATCAAAAGTAAACAGATCTTTGTCTTACTTTTAATAATCATTTGGTTGAAAGGTGAGGGATTGTTGTCAATCAGAAGTAATGTGTAGCACTGCGTAAGTGCTAAATACATCCTGTTCAAATCTTAAAAAATACACTGTGGTTCAGTCTGTTAATGGACAGTCAAACAATTTTTTATAGCACATTATAATGGTCTTGTGAACCAAAAGTACAGAACATCAAAATCGAGAATTTAACTTCATATATGTATTCAAGATCTTCAAGACCTTTTACCAATTCTTGACAATAGGTCATACTGAGAACTAACACCAATTTCGAAGATTGAGATATAACTGAATGAAAATATACTTAATATTAAGGCCTTGAATAAATTATTATTCTGTTGTCCGAAGAACTCATATCCAATTATCCTTTACACACAAGTACTATCGTTATTAAGGGGGAAAATTTAGGCAAAAAATGGATACACGTAGGTCCAATATATATATATATATATATATATATATATATATATATATATATATATATATAGGATATCAACTGAAAGTATTTGCAGGCTGTTGTATCATCGATATTTACTAAACCAGATAATTTTAGAGATATGCACAGATAGCTATAGAAAATCGCTGGGATGATTAAGCAAATTAAATGCAGTGAAAATTAGGAAAGAACGTGGTGTGAAATATGTTAAAACTGACATATAACAAGACGAATTATAGTAAATAATTCAAATAAGAAGTTACCAGATAATTAATTCACTACGTTGCATATAAAACATATAAAACATGCAGCGGCGATCCTGCTGTAATATTCTTTTACTCTCTACATAAGAGTGAGACGAACGTCTTTGACTGAAGGTTCCCTTCCTAGTTGTATTTTTATAAAACGAACTGCCTCTTCCATCTTTTCTGCTGTCGTTCACTATTTTTTATTAATTTTTGTTCACTCTCTTATTATAACTCCAACTTGAGTCCCTCCGGGGGGCTACTGCCGGTCCCAAGCCCGGATTAAGGAGGGGGGTTGGACATGGGGTTAGCGTCCCCATCCCGCAGAAAACTAACTCGCTAAAAAAACGCTAACCAGCAAAGATTATTCAAACCTTTTAAACTCTGCCCTGGGAGTCAGAAAGTCTTCATTTAGAAGAACTATGACGCCTCATGATGAAAGCCGAATTTCTTCGGAAGTTACGAGGCCGATGCCCCTTCTGACAACCAGAGCAACCATTTATTTAGGTACATAGAATGTGGGACACTGGAGAGCCTTCCAAATCGCTGCAGAAATGAGAAGATACAACCTGGAGGTGCTTGGGATCAGTGAAACACATTGGACGCAAGTTGGCCAACAACGACTAGCTTCAGGGGAACTTCTGTTATACTCCGGCCATGAAGAAGAAAATGCTCAACATACACAAGGAGTTGCATTGATGCTGTTCAAACAAGCACAAAATGCACTTATAGGATGGGAATCCCACATAAAATCATACAAAGTCACATGGACTTCACCGGATCACACCACGCAAAACCAAATCGATCATATTTGCATCAACGAAACGTTCAGGAGGACTATAGAGGACGTGAGAACCAAGAGAGGAGCCGATATAGCATCAGATCATCAATCGCTGGTCGCCAAGATGAAATTGAAACTCAAGAAGCACTGGACAATGGGGCGGACAATATCACAAAAGTTCAATACGGCCTTTCTTCAGGATACTAACAAACTCAACAAATTCAAGATAGTCCTCAGCAACAAGTTCCAGGCCTTTCATGATCTACTCAATGGAGAAGGAACTACTGTGGAGAGCAACTGGAAGGGGATCAAAGAGGCAATCACTTCAACATGTCATGAGGTCCTGGGTCACAAGAAGCACCATCACAAGGAATGGATCACTTTTGATACACTGGATAAGATTCAAGAAAGAAGGAACAAGAAGGCAGCAATCAATACCAGTCGAACAAGAGCAGAAAAAGCCAAGACACAAGCTGAATACACAGTAGTAAACAAACAAGTAAAGAGGAGCATCGGAACCGACAAACGTAAATATGTGGAAGATCTAGCAAAGACGGCGGAAAAGGCTGCAAGAGAAGGGAACATGAGACAATTGTATGACACGACAAAGAAACTCTCTGGAAATCGCCGCAAGCCAGAACGACCAGTGAAAAGCAAGGAAGGCGAGGTAATCACCAACATTGAAGAGAAACGAAACAGGTGGGTAGAACACTTCAAAGAACTCTTGAATCGACCAGCTCCACTGAACCCACCCAACATCGAAGCAGCACCCACGGACCAGTGTAGCAGCAGCCTCAGCAGCAACAGGTCTCAATATACACAAAGGGAAGAGCAAGGTTCTCCGATACACCACAGAATGCACCAATCCAATCACAATTGACAGAGAAGATTTGGAAGATGTAAAAACCTTTACATAACTGGGCAGCATCATTGATGAACATGGTGGATCTGATGCAGATGTGAAGGCGCGTATCGGTAAAGCAAGAGCAGCATATTTACAACTGAGGAACATCTGGAACTCAAAGCAACTGTCAACCAACACCAAAGTCAGAATTTTCAATACAAATGTCAAGACAGTTCTACTGTATGTGGCGGAAACCTGGAGAACTACGAAAGCAATCACCCAGAAAATACAGGTGTTTATTAATAGTTGTCTACGCAAAATACTTCAGATCCGTTGGCCGAACACTATTAGCAACAACGTACTGCGGGAGAGAACTAACTAGATCCCAGCGGAGGAAGAAATCAGGGAGAAGCGCTGGAAGTGGACAGGACACACATTGAGGAAAGCACCTAACTGTGTCACAAGACAAGCCCTCACATGGAATCCTCAAGGCCAAAGGAAAAGAGGAAGATCAAAGAACACATTACGCTGGGAAATGAAGATAGACATGAGAAAAATGAACAAGAATTGGATGGAACTAGAAAAGAAGGCCCAGGACAGAGTGGGTTGGAGAATGCTGGTCGGCGGCCTATGCTCCATTGGGAGTAACAGGCGTAAGTAAGTAAGTAAGTCTCTTATTATACTCACCTTTCTTCTTCTATTTCTTAATAATCTGCTTTTTACTGTGTGGAGAATATACATTTTGGAATCCGTTTGTACACATACTTGTATTTGAATGAGTAATTAAATATTTTGAAAACAAGCAATAATATTATATGCTTTGTAACAAGGAGAAAAAAAATAGTATTCTAGGTTATCTTGATTGAACTAACTGTTATTTATTCCAGTATTACCTATCACGTCTACTTTTTATGACGTGGTAAGACTACACCACATAGACGACCTTTAGCGATCAATCACAATTAAGCGGGCTGATGTGCGAATTTAAAACGCTGTTGTAGATATCTTGCTTATAAATCTCGTGATTTCTATTACATTTCGAATTTTGAAAGGATTGGATGGTGATTACTTTATGGAATGAGCTATCAACGTCAGTTTGTTTGGATTATGAGTGTGTTTAGGAGCTTTAGGGTTAGAATCTGGTACCTAGGAGTTATAGGGTCGTTAGCATTTAATTAACATAGGGCTACGAATTAGGGTCTATCTATCCTGATAACAGAACTATGATATCTAGCTTGAATTAACGATATTTAGCATTGATAAGTTTATTTATGATTTTAACTCTTAACCCTTTGTAATCCTATCGTTTTCCTATATTTTGAAAGTCAAATACGAAAGCTGTATTTTGATTGGCTATTCTCAAGGCCACCCATAAATTCACTGTAGGTCTTCGGTATAGCATAGTCTTGACTAGATTTTACAGAAATAATATAATTATTAATTTCTTCTACGACTTACTCTGGTTTAGATTCAAAAGAACAACGGCATATCAACTCATCCATGGATTTTTCATTTTCTAGGACCCTTAAAAGGAACCAAACACTTTTAAGTCACCAGATTGTTCCTAGTTGGGGTTAGGTGTTTAGGCTTTGGGTTCTCACCACAACCTACACAACTATAATGTAAAATGCTATGTAGCCATGTCGATAACTGATTTCACTCAAAAATACGAGGGGAGCTAACTGATTAGTTCTTCTATGAAATACAGCGCCATCAGGTTAACATTTGTTTCGAGACTAGGGGTTGATGGTTACGATCTATCTGTTATACATTATTTAAACAGACAATGATGAAAGAAAGTACTTTTTCATTATCATTTCAAGAGTTTAATGACTGAAAATTTATTAATGTATTTAACCTTAATATCACGTTTGCTATGACCGCTGGTCGGATAAATGTCTGTAGTTATGTGATTTCCGCTGTCCAAGCTATAAAATGGAGCTAAAAGCATATTAAGAAATACTTAATGATTTAATAAAAGAGAACACATAAAAGTTAGGGATGATAGAAGGCGTACTTCTGTTTTAGACTGAAAATCATTTTTTTCGTAAAATGAAAAAAATCATTTTCCATATTTAACTGCTTAATTTGTTAATAGTTTAAAATAAAAACTGCTTTATCACTGAAATATTGTCTGATACATACAGTGAACATTGGAACTAACCAATTTCTAAAAAACGTTCATGACTCAGGATTCTTAGCATAAAAAATAACTGTAAATATGGGACCCATCATCTCAAAAAAAACCATTAAATAATAGATATTTGCAACCGTTCTATTAAAAAATAGAAATCAAGTTTAGATAACGCAGGACACATGTTTATCTCCTATGTGAGATGCATTAGTTTTGTAGAAAAAATTATTGACTGTTGGGAATCAATAACACGTGCACTAATTTTCTTGTAAATGATTACGACTAATAGTCCTAACACAAATAATGATTATTCCACTTAATTATATACAGTTATACGAGAGAAGTCATTTACAAAGACGTACCATGCACCCATTTTATCAGACTTGGCTGAAAACATCTTTTCCACTCTAGAACTACAATTTGGTGAAGTGCATTCGATATTTCCTTGAGAATTATTTCGATCTATCACGAAACCAGTAGAACTGTCATCGACAACTGTATCAACCTTAACATCAACTAAATGAAGCACTAAACCACCAAACACACTGTTAGATAGATCATATGATTCAAGATCACGCGACTGAATTTCATTAGAAGAGCACGAATTTATTTCAATATTGTTATTGTTTGGATATTGAACATGTGAAACAGGCATTTTAGATTGGGAATCTGTTGGAAGACTACTAGGATTGATCCAGCACAAAATTGAACGTGGACCAGGACGAAAACGACTGGATCGTGCAGTACAATAAGCACTCGTGGAATCTACGAAACACAGAGTGGCATGAAAAATTAACATGAATTATAATGATTTAATTAAATGGATATGAATAAAACACTTGATATAAGCAACCATAAAGCGATCCTAAATCAAACAATATATTTCTGTGCATATGTAAAGTAGCAGCCATTCTATTCCACTATGATATGGATGATTATGAAGCGCCCCGAAGAGTAATCACACTTATCTATTGTAATATAATCATCTAATTCATGACTGAACTAAAAAAATCAGCTAGAGATATCTAGCATTATAGGCAAGTTTTTTCATCGAAACTCAAACTTGACAGTTAATGGAATAGTAAAACACCTTAAGTCTCATAACTACGAAAGTATGTACTAACAGACAGTTGATTTGGTATTGAATGGGTTTTGATTAAAAACAACCATCATAGAATAGTACAGTCAGTAACAACGTAGAACTTCGTGCGTACGTACATCAGTTCGAGTTGCCACACCATATTAGCACAGAGATGCAGTGGTCGATTCAAATCCCGTAGTGGTAGAGGTAATAAGAGTATAAGCAGTAATCGGAAAGATTAGTTAGGAGAAGTTACTTAAAGAGTATAATACAGTGAAATAAACTTGGGAAGAGGAAAAAAAAGAGACAAGGGGGAATCAGGAGATCAAAATTTGGGAGAACACAAAGAGTGGATGCACCTGCGCCATTGCAAACGATTTTGAGCCATGTCATTCAAGGTTTCTAACCATCTGTTGCTATCATCTCGCGGTCCCCAACCAGGTAGTCTACATCTACCGACATGACTCAGTCCACTTGTCAGTGACTTCATGGACTTGAGCCATGTTTTGGTCTGGCCGCCCTTAGCTTTCTTCCAACCTACTCCTATACCACTGAACATCGCACGTCGAGGCAGTCGGTCGTTGGGCATACGTAACACGTGTACAAATTCATTCCGTTACCCAATTTAATAATCTGTACAAGTTAGTCAACAGGGCGATGTCTTACGTATAACTACAAAAATTATCTGTAGTTTTACACAACCAATTTTATCATACCATAATAACATGAAGATAGAAACTAAAATTAATTTCTTGCGCACGTTAGATCTAAAAGATTGAGATATAACTAGAAAAGCAGAGAAATGTATCTGTGAGTGAAAGTCCTAAATTAAAGCTTGTACAATACAATTAATAGCATGTTACCAATACTTTAGTACTAATTGAGGGTATTACTTTTTATATAAATAGAATCTGATTCACATACAAGCGAGTACAAATTTCTGAAAATACAATCGATTCTTCAATCATGTGAAAATTTATTTCCTTGATCATTTATAGTTCTGTTTAGTTGTATACACAAAACTGCTACAACTAAGCAGTATGATACGAACTTGGCAGATTATTAGACAAAACATACCATTTTACGACTGTTTGCTAATAAAAGCTCTCAGAGTAGGTATGACGATTTAACTCTTAGACTGAATAACACTATTTCAGTGTACAGTGAAAATTATACAGACCTCGATACATAACTCATGTTAATAACTTATTACATGTAATCAATCATAGTAAAAAAAGCATATAGTTAATCAATTTGATAATAAAACCAAACAATATGGTTTATTATTTAAAAGAGAGTAATATTTTACATGAGCATCTAAGTGTATGTTGTTAATAAGTTTCCTTGTGTCAAGGTTTAGAGTATTTAACTGACTTGATGAAGTCGTGCTAAGACGAAACGACGATGAATCTGTATAATACGTTTATGACGCTTCTTTAAAATCATCTTTTTAGGTTCACATAAATAAATAATTCCTGGGGAAAAAGTATAATTCAACTTCATGGTATTATTCACCTGAATTGGAAGTATCATCATCTACTGAGAACCGAATTCGCATTTCGTCATTATCACATGGAATTTGTGGAAGGGAGTAAATTAAACGCTCTTGAGTGCTTGCATCCAGTAGTAGAGTATCACTACCAACAGTTGTTGAAGATTCTGGTTGGAAACATTGAGGTAAACACCATTTAAACAAACAGCGGCGCATGCATACAAATAATCCCCGACTTAAAAGACGATGCTTGGGTACTTTACAAGCAGATAAAGCATCAATTAGTCTCCACTTGAAATCCGATATCGTTGATTTATTCATACGTGCGAAAATGTCGTATCCATAGATGATGGATAGTAGAAAAGGTTTACAATAGTCGGCTAGTTCTTGACTAAATGTTAGAAAAAAATTTACAGCATAAAAAATGGAAAACGATTAAAACAACCAGTAACTAGAAACTAGGATTCTGTTGATATATTTACTATAATCATACATATATATGCCCGAAAAATAATCATAGTGCGAACGCTAATATGCAGACACGATGGGTTTAATATAAATGGAGAGACGGTTTTTTCAGAAGAGATATAACATTTGGAAAGGTATAACTCATAAACTCTTTAGACTAAACATTTATAACAAAGGTGTTAATAACGTGAAGTATACAACCTAAAACCAGAATATCAGTTTACAGTCTAAAATTGTTGGTGAATTACACACTGTAGTAGTCATGACTTTTGTAGACAAAGATTTGTTATTGACATGTACAGAAAACATAGATACACTAAGGTGGCATAACTATGACGTCAAATGTGTTTTGGAATGATAGTTGTCCCATTGTTGTTATGGTAGATACAATAAATGGTTAGTTTACTGCAGTTCGGTTTGATGTTTCACATTGCTTTCATGTTGAGAGATCTTTCAATTCTATTCAAACGAAAATAAGTGAACACATAGTACTCAATTAAATAAGTTCTTATCATGTTTTTTTTTTTAAAGTTTTGAGCCCAAATTAACTATCACAATAGTAATCACGTTCGTACAAAACACTGATATGGAAGGCGATCCCCTTGAACTGTTTAACACAAGGGATAAGCTTTTCAAAAGATAATTTAGGTTGCGTTGGACGAAGATCATGAAAGCAAAGTAAACTTTCTTAGTGTTAGAGTAAGTATTAATTAGATGTTTCCTATTATTTGACTTGTTTCAAATAGCTTGATGGATGTAACACGCTTTAAATCATCCAAACGACGACAATGATAGTCGTTTGGTCTAAACAACACGAGCTATGTACCTAAACTTGAATATGCTGAAGTTTTATCAAACAATGAATTTCAAACTCAACCCAATATAGTAATTACAATGACGACTAGTTTTCTTTGTTTCAACACTTTTTATTGTCTGTTCTAAACTACCAGCTTGCGTTTTTATCACATCGAATTAACAACTTTATGTAGAAACCGAAATGGAGATTGTTGTTTGTAAAAGCAAGTAAAACATTTTCTTCAGTCTAGTAAATTCTAAACACGGAGCCATAAGTTTTAGTGAATATAATCCAGATGAATTGTATCCTCCAAAAATTGAAAGTAGGAACTTATTCAAAGACAGCTTGAGATACACTTAAAAATAGGTTAAAAAGCGACATGACTAAGGTGTATGACGTCACAATAACTAAAACCTGAACAAGATAACATTAATAATCATGAATGTATTTATAATGAACAAGTTGTTAGGTTCGCCACATGATTAACACAGAATACGATATACAACTAAAGGCACTCGAACGCATAGAACCCCCAGAGTAGCAAATCAGAAGATAGAAGAAATAGGAGAAGTGATTGTTCGGTAAAAACCAAAAATATACAGAAAACCATGGGTATTTATAGACATAAGTGTTTGCTATAACATCATTATAATTCAGTCAATCCGCAAGGAGGCAAGTTTTGGTACTGTCCAATTGCAGGATGCCGAGTTGATATTGTAGAGAGCTCTATCAGATTCTGAATTGGTGGAAACTCTTCGACCCCTTTAGGGCCTCTGGAGGCCCCGTCATCCTTCTTGGAAGCCGTCCCAACACAAGTAAACCGAGTTCATCTACGTTAGTTTCCACCAATTTTTCTAGAAAGTAACCTGTTATAGAATTTGTTAGCTCTTATAAAAACAGAGTTCTATTCACCTGCAGACAGACTTGTGTCTACACTTTAATTTGCACTAGCTATGATGTTGTTCACATTGAGAAACATTTTGGTTTTAATACTTCCATAGTGAAAAACGAATGAATGAAACCTTTTAGACAAATTTTGGGTCAATCGGGTTCAGTAAATGGAAGATATGACTCCTCATACAAACTTGAGATATTTATCTAAAAACAAAAACATACATCGTAATTATAATGACGTTTTTGAAATGATCGCACACCAACTCAAATGAATAACACATCAGTAATCATAATGAAAAGTAATTTATTATGTTTGACTTCAATGTATAGAATAATAGTTCTCTCTTTTAGAAAAAAGTGGTTTTCAAGAGGTGGGTGGTGATTCACAGGTACATTGGCTCAAGTAACGCCGAATTCTACACACATAGAATTGAGTTTTGTGCTAAGATACGGAAGAAGACAAAACAGACTAGTATACAGCTAAAATAAATGAACTGAGTGGATGTGTGATTCACCACATGTTGAAGACTGAACGAATGCTTTGTATGGAGAGGAAACAATGATTAATCGTAAAGCTACTTGGAATCACAATTGTGATTAGTAGTTAAATTCGATTTCCAGTTGCCACCTGACTAAGTTTCGAAAAAGAATTTAGCTTTTATGATGGAAGCTATGTATCAACTATACACAAAGTTGAACGTATTTGTCAAAACAACTGTCATCATATAAATAATCCTTCTTTACTTGCCAAATGTCGAAATGGAAATTTTCACCATACAAGTATTTGCTTGAACTATCGTCTTTGCAGTTATACCGTTTGTTATAACGCTTGGTTTTACTTCGTCTAATGTTATAACGGTTGAGTTTCCACGTATGGGACGCTAATTTACCTTAAACGATTGTCTACACTAGATCCCTCCCAGTGTCTATTCTACAGGACGTCAACACAACTCAGACCAAGAACACGTAATTAGCCTAACCACAACGTAAATATATTCCCACCGAAAACCGACACAGACCACAACAACGAACAATCAATAATAAGTGCCACAATAATAAGGATAAGGGAATATATAACTTATCTGACACCTGTCAGACTATCTACATGTCTGACTAAGCAGATAACCAATCATGATCATTCTCACCCACACATCACCATTCCTACTGTTTATTTTGTACATATACCGATTACGAATTTCATCATTTCCTAACATTCACAAAGGTGGTAAAAAGAATTTACATTAGTGTAAAATTGAAAAGGCTATACAGAATGTCACCAATAAGCTGTTGATTTTTACAGAGACGATATATAGTAAGTAATCTACAGAGGTGATCGACGTTTATTCCATTGTGGAGATTAGTTAGCACGTGTATAAGTTGTATCTTTTCTTGAGAAAACAACAGAAACGATAATTAATGAGACTGGATTGATAGTGCTAGTGACTAATAAAAATAAATGACATGGTAATAATGATACTTACTTCATCATACCCAAAGGTGCACTGAAAGCATAACCTTTCACATCAGGATATTTACAGTGTAGGATGACCGAAAGAAAAGATGCAATGCCAGCACCCAGACTATGACCACATACCACTAATTTATATTGTGGTTTTTTACTAAATGCCGTTTCAATAGAATGATCGGTTAGTAAACAACTGTATAAATGTCTTGATCGTTCTACCATACCACGATGTCCAATAAAACATGGTCGTCTACCCGTTTTTGATTCGACAAAATCTTCAACTTCACTCAATCGTACACCATCGTACAGCAAGTCGACTATAGTGTCATCAAACGACAAAGTACCACGGATAGAGATAACAATACATTTACTAAAATCATCGACTGCTACAAAGTAAGGAGATTGGTAAACCTATGAAAGATATTAGACAAACATTGAAAGGAAGTAAAGTTGACAAGTGAATACAAAAACAATGTTATCGTTATTAACATAGTAGGAATGATATAGTTTAAAATCTCTTTCTATTACTAGAATTCTTCCATAGAAGCCTAACTTATGACTCAAATAATTGACAACAGAACATGACGACGTAAGATGTATCTAAAAAGGAGTCAAGAGCAACGGCTAGTTTATTGGTTCGTCTTCCTGATAAACGTTGACAGGTACGATAGATGGGTTAATATTTTGTTGATGTCTGCTTGCAGAAACAAATTAACGAGATGAAAAGTTACATCCAAAACCAGATATTGCGTTCGATCTTATCATAACTAATACTTTTAATGAATATTTGACAGTATTCATTAAGTATTCAAGACATTCAAAAGTAAAATTACCAGAAAGGAATAGAAAGATGATAGGAGATAGATGAACCAAGTAGTTTATTGGTTCTACTTGTCACTAAAATTTAATAATTTAATGCCTGGACACTTAATATTAAACAACTATAAATATTTTTCAGAAATTAAAGTTTTCACGTAATATCAATGTTCTAAAACGATTTGATGACATCTTGCTGTTCAGATATCGAAAAAGTACATTGATTAATGTATATCTAATTTTCATATTTTATAGAGTAAAACTAGTTGAAAAAGCACATGAAAACAGTGCTTAAGTACAAAGGCCAGAATTTATAGTTTAACAATGCCCTCAACATGAATTCCTCTCACTTACTTAAAAACCTACATGATTCAGTTTTCAATGCACAGAATCAATATTTAAATACAAACAATGTTGAATATAGTATCGTACAAGAGTCTGCTTTCTTTCGCAAGGCTAACTTATCGATAGACAAACTAATCAAAAGGACAAGTAATCTATTTATCGAGAGGAAAGACTGCGATAGAGAAAAAGATAATTTATGTATGAGGTATCTGAAAGGCTAAGCATTTAACTTTTAACACAAACCTCCAAAAATAAAGTTTAAACTTTTAAGTGGTGAACATAAAATAGGGTTTGTTTTCTATGAACAGGTCAAATAATGGGAAAGTAATAATTCAAAGGAAATAAGATTCAGTTTCACACAATTTATGTTTAATTTGATTTAATTTCCTTTGAGATGCCTAATTTAAGGATTTTACTAGAAATTATCTGATTTGTTTTTCATTTGAAAGAGTATGATTGATCATAAAACACTGAATTTCCCAATGGTTCAGTCATATTAAGCCAGCGATTTTTTATCACTGCATTCTTTCAAATAAGACAATCCACGATACTCTGTGCGCTCGTCGATGCGAATTGCTGAGTTATTGCATACTAAAATGAAACATTTGGCTAGTGCTACCTGGTTTTCGATGGATGTTTAACTTGTGTTGGTTAGTGATATCAATAATGTTCAATAATCTCTATGGATCTCTATGTTGATAAAACAATATTGCTTAAATGATTAATGCATAGACAGAATTTCCAAAATTTATTTGATTATAAAACCAGATGTCTGCACTTCACTAATTTAATCAACTATAATTAAACGCATAAGAAAAAGTAAAAAGTTGTCATTTAACAAGCGGGAAAATGTGTGTGTTCAACCATCACATTCATTCTTTAGCATGAGGTCATCAAAACATGGACCGATTTTCGATAATTTATAAGCGAATTCTCGCTTTTTTATGCAGAAAAAAAGATCAATATATGATAACCAACCACATTAGGATAGTGGTAGGCTGGAAGAAAGTTTCATTTATTGTTTCAAATAATTTAGCAGATGAATTAATGAAATTATATAAGTTATGAAAAGTAATGTTGTTAAATAATATATAGAAACAATTTTTTGTAATAACATACTGAATTATCATAAGACAGTTTAATAAACTGATCTTCTCTTAAACAAGTGAACTCGAGTATAGCTGCCAGATCGCATGTATATTTTGAGCATATACAACAACTAAGTTTTGTCTTTCCAGATGATACAGGATTACAAGAATTTCTTTATTAAAGCAATAAACAGAAAATGTATGTAAAGATAATAATAATAATAATAATAATAATAATAATAATAATAATAATAATAATAATAATAATAGCGTTTATAAGGCTTTCTGATAACACCTATATGAGTAGTGTAAAACTACTTCAGTAACATAAAGTACTTCAGTATTGACAGGCAATTGGCAACTAAAAGTTTCATACGAAATTACCCAAACAATTAAAACGCAACGGTTAAAGTGAACATGACCTGATAGACGAAAGAGGATAAAAAAACACCATAGTTAGGATAATAGAAATAACATTACAATATTTGATGGTGAAATCGCTGTATAATAAACAAGATTCAAGTACACAGAAATAGTGATATTTGATCACCTTAATCCTTGAGAGGTAGCTAGTAGACAGGATAAAGAAATAATGTTAAAAAATCAGTATTGCAAACTTACATTTACAGCATTACCTTATCTTCAAAAGTAAAAAAGACTAATAGATGTATCCTGACAAATTATAAACCGTCTTGAGCTTTTTTACCATCCACTATGAAGTGTTAATCGGTGACTTAAATCGAAAATAATTTTACTAACTTTCCAGGAAGCTATTTTTGGAGAGATAACACTACCTTTTTCAAATAAATGAAGAACACATATATTTATATTTCGATAATGTAATAAGAAGACGAAGATTATCAGAACTATGTGATATATATACATGTCACTTTATAAGAGATATGTGGACGATATCTTATTTGTTTGTGAGAGGAAAGAGGATATGTAGTCTTTATTAAATAAACTTAACACTCTCCAAAACCATATCATTCTCTCATGTGAGGAAAAGAAGAACGATCAGCTTCCCTTCTTAGATATACTTCCGAGTAGACCTGAAGATGGCTCAGTTAAGCGATCTATTTTTAGAAAACCAACGTGGACAGGTCAATACCTTAGTTATTATAGATATTGACCTGTGCAATACAAACGTGGTTTGATAAGGTGTCTTTTCAACAGGCTCGATAGTATTTGTACAAATGACGCCATTGATGATCTTGTTAAGTTACTAAATAAAACATTAATAGAAAATGGCTATCTTTCGAAATTTATAAATAGATGGAAAGTCCATGGTACAGCGAAACCTAATGTAGCCTCGGTAGAGAAAAAGCCTGTCTACATCATATTGCCGTTTAGAGATGATTCAAACAGCCTTTTATTGAAACAAAGACTTAAATCAGTCATCAATAAAACGTATTGTACAGCAAAACTCATTATCAAAGAAAGAATAAGGTGCATGCTTCAACCAAAACCTAAAAGACATGAAAACAATTGTGTCACATCCCACTGTGTTTACCAATTTAAATGTGTGTGTGGTCACACATACCCAGGGAGGAGCAATCGTGATCTCAACATTAAGGTGAGTGAACATGTACCCAAATGGCTGCAGAAACAAATACAATCAGGTGACCCAATAAGAGCAGAGGATAAACATCCATCATCCTCTATTGCTAAACATATAATTGAAACAAGTCACAAGATTGATCTAAATTCAGCTTTTGTAGTGTTGTATAAAAGTGTAAAAGGGCGTATACTAAGGTTTTTATTGAAGCCTTAGCCATACGAAAATTCAAACTCCCTTTGTGTGTTCAAAAACAGTTTATTTTTACCTTAATGTGAACACAATTCGAAACCTAATCGATTGAATCGGGGTCATACAGTTGGTTTCAATCCCATGAGAATCATTCAAAAAGGATTTAATTCTTACGAAGAACGACTAACAGCCGAAGACCTACATATATGGGTTAATTCAAACAATATTAATAGGAGAGATGGAATACAACTAGCTGTCCCATGGCAACTAATATTTAATAAGTAAACCTGAACTTCTTATTCCAATTTGATATATCTATCTCATAGTAACTAATGGATGGATGATACGTTCAACGATTCAAATCAGTTATCTTATCTAAATATTTGAAATATTCCCATATTGTAAATTTAGAACAATATATATAAGCGAACAATATTGTTTTCGATTAGATCGTCATCAGGCTTTACTCTAATATACAGTAATATTTATATGCATATACGAAATTATTAAACCAATCAAGGTAGTTTATAAGTCAATGATAACAATGGAAAAGACTACATAATAAGTAAAATGTGAAAAGTACAAATTGATGGTGTGACAACAGATGCATTAGTTTTGATAAGCAATAATAATAAAGGTTCAAATCAATGTTACATAATCTGAAATAGGTCAGTGATTAGATGGTGGTTGGAGGTAGTCAACAGGAAACCCTGGACACGGGTTTCGTGCTATTTGGCACTCGTCAGCAAGGTGTACCTGTAACCTTGAGGGAACTGGTGCTCCCTGGCGGATTCGATCGGTCAGTGATTAGAAAAATATAGAAACTGAGATAACAATTATAAAATTATAAGATGTGTAATAAGAAATGTTCAGATAATTGGACCATGAAACGTATAGTTGAGAGAAAATAAAGTGGTAGGAGGGTGTGAAGAAAAATAATAAACACTAAAGTTTAGTTTGCTGGTATAGAAATAACCAGTCAACACAATCGAGATATTTAGATACTTGAATACAATAGTCATGGTTTTAAATATAAACAGTCTGGTACAAGAAAAAAATTGTAGTGCAACTGGAAAATTACATTCTGATTAGTCTAATATAATCAAAACTTCGGAGTTGTTGAATGACTGGAACACTCTCCTCATATGGAAGTGAAGATTACAATGAACAAGAGTAAATGGTCATTGAGTTAGCATATGTTTATTTTCATGCATGATTATTCCATTTCTTAAATGATAAGTAATGTAAAGTTAGCATACTTTCTTCGTATAATTCGCACATAAGCAGTACGTTTATTTCTGAACATAGATTCTTGGTTAGGAAAATAATCGACCCAATCACTTTAGTCACTTAAATTTTTTATTAAACCAACTGAGGTGTCTTAGTAAAGACTGATTTTCGAAACCAAATGGGCATAGATCTCTACATGTTTATATTGTGACTGACGATAGTCGGTACATAAACCAGTAGAGACTAATCAAATCATCTTTAATATCAACCAAGAGAAATCCGAACCATTATAAATAACAAATCTGTTCACAACAAAGGTTTTGACTATGAAAAAGCCATTAATTAACCTTAATTTTTGGTACTTAAAACTTGATATCATAGAGCAACCAGAATAAAAACAGTATATTGAGGTAACGGTGACAGAGTTTAGATGATGATTGGTGCGCAATCAATGGTTTATGTAAAAAGCCTAGATATAAATAGATATATATAGGTAGATAACTGATATGTTCTGAGTAATTTAGTAGCCGGAAGTAAACAGTAACGCCCAAACTTTAAAATCGAAGTGTTTAGTTGAGGGTTTTAGGCAGAGGTCATTTGACTGAAAATTGTGATCATAAGATGTCAGCGCTGAATAACAAATTATCGATCAAAACTTAGTTTAAAATAGGAAACTAATTAATTTGTAGATTTATTATATTTATAACCAACAAAGTTTGCGTGTATGTAGCATTGAAGAAACGCGTAAAAATACAGGATATAAAGTAATACTATATCTTTCATCATTCATATTGTATTTCAAATTTCATATGATGTTCACGTAAACAAAAACAATTGACTTTATTCAAACTTTATAAGCTACTATACTGCTTTACACATTAATTATTCATACAGATCCTTACTTCAACATACTTATAGATTCATATCAAATTTGATGATAGAAAAGAAAACTAGATAGAATTCACTTAGTCATAAAGAAAAAAACAAACAAACAAACGATGCTCATTATTGAATTCTATTGAAAATTTTTAACTCAACATATTTGGCTAAAACTTTTGTTATGATATTCAAGAGTATTAAAGTACCTTTAAAATTTAATTAAGGTAGAATTTAATTACTCAACAATGATCTGAGCATCCAAATTTAATTTAACTAATTTGTATTTAATCTAAAGTTTAACATCATTTCCGAACAAATGTGTTTTATTGATTATGCGCTTGAAGAAAATTTGAAGCTGTCTGTTCAGAAATAAAGAAATGAGCATTCCTAAGTTTATGATGAATCACATATTACAGTTGTTGACTAAAATTACAACAAAACTCCCAATTAAAATAAAGCCAAATTAAAAAAGTTCAATATCTAAGATTTCATCGTTATATACATATATGCATAAAAAATAAGCACATTTAATTTTATTTGTTTTCTTTGACTTCTGAATTGATGTCAACCTATTTCCAATGATTCACCAAGGTGGTTGTAGCAGGAGAGTATAGGATGGGAAGGATGACAGTTTCTTATGCCAACAACAATAGTAAAACTGGTTAACGTATACTATACTGATAGCCTTGAGTAAATCAATAACAATTAAGTGCAACTTAGAAGTCTGCGCGAAATTAAGAGAGAGGTGCAAGATAGCTTATATGGTTAAGGGCATTATGATGTGCGGTGTCCGATATCTGATACTAGTGCACGAAGTGCTACGCTCTGACCCCCAAAGTGAATACTTGGGAGATAAGACAAGAGTAGAAGAGTAAGTCTACCGGACTACCGAATAATAAGCATAAATACTCATTAATATATACGTTTTTACCCCTTAGAAAATCGATCCATTCCTTAGCCAGTGATATGCATTTGACATTCACGGTCATTTCTCGTTATCAAATGGCCTTCTCATTTGGCTACTTCTGATTGATTCACAATATTAAAGGATATTTGTGTGACTAGATAGTATTTGCCCAACCTAAATAAACATAAGTAAACAAAATAGTTTATGTCAGATCGTGATGCAAACCCTAACCCTAATACGTGATCCTGATGCATAACCCTAACTTAACTTTTATTAACCGACCTAAAAATTTATGTATTATTACTTACGCATAACTTAATCTAGAACCCTTCTTGAACTAAAGCTCGGATAAAAGAGGAAGGTTGTATATAGGATTAGCAACCCTACCCTGCAGAAAACAACCTTGTTAAAAATCGCAAAGATGCAAAAACCATTTAAACTCTGTCCTGGGAGTTGAATGATCTTCATTTAGAAGAGTTGTGAAGCCTCATAGAGAAAGTCGAGATTCTTTTAAAGTTACGAGGCCGACGTCCGTTCTGACAACTGGAGCAATAATTAACATAGATATATTAAATGGCTGCACAATGCGAGAGTCCGAAAGGGCCATTCAGGAACTGAAGTCACACATAGAGGTAACTGCAAAAATTATCCATATTACATTCACAAAAGTTTTGAAGGAAAAAACAAGTATCAGCAGACTACTAGAAAGAATACCTCATCGAAACATTAAAGAAAGGAGATACTAGTATGTATGAAGGCTAAAGAACCATCACGCTACTTTAAGGGAAAGAGGCGACCTATGCTATACGAGGACTAATAGATGTAAGTGAGTACTCACTAGAATTCTGTAGCCAACTCTTTCCTAAGATGTACTTTCCAGCTGTTTACCAGTCTAATTCATTATCTTGATGTCTGCCTCCAATTCTCAGTGTAATGTGTTCTTGGATCTGCCTCTTTTCCTTTTCCCATCTGGATTCCAAGCCAAAGCTTGCAGCGTGATGCTGCTTGAGAATTTCCGCAATCCATGTCCTCTCCAACTCCAGTGTCTTTTAATTTCCTATTCGGCTGGACACTGGTTTGTTATCTTCCACAACGAGTAGTTTCTGACAGTGTCCGACCAGCAGATCTGGAGTATCTTGCGTAGACAATTGTTTATAAAAACCTGTGTACTTGTGATGATGGTTGTAGAGTGGTTCATCAAGTTTCAGCTCCGTACAGTAAAAATATCTTGGGGTTTGTATTGAAAATCCTAACTTAGGTGTTGGTTGACAATTGTTTTGAGTTCCACATGCTCTTCAATTGTGGGCCTTGTTTTGCCAAACTTTGCCTTTCTATTTATATCAGGTCTACCTTCTTTATTGATGCTGCCCTAGTACGTATGTTTTTATAACTTTCAGTGTTATAACGGAACAGATATTGTAAAAAAACTGTTCTTTTCGAATTATCATTTATTATAAGTCTGCACATGATTATATATAAGGAAATGGATGAATCATCGAATAGATTAAGCAGCTAATAATAAAGCTAGCAGAATGAATATATGCGTATGTGCTAAACAATGTTCAAGCATACGTATTTCATACAAGCATAGTAATAATAAAAATACAACAAGTTATTATACCATGGATGACTTTGTCCATTAAATAGGTTAACAAAATACCTTGACTGAGAGTGAGTCGCTATAAGTCTGTCAGCTGTCCTCCATGCACGACTTAACAATGTATTCCCTCGTATGATGGTAACAATCTTCGCAGGTATACCGTATTGTCGAAGAAGGTTCCGTAAAGTTCTCCTATCCGCGCTGTCAAACGCTTTATCATATTCGTGGGAGTTGATGTATAGTGACGAGTTTCATTCAAGTAATTGTTCAACGATGATCCGTAGTGTTGCGATTTAGTTGGTACACAATCGATCCTTACTGAATCCAGCTAATTGATCTTGAAGTTGGACGTCTACTGAATCTTTTATTCAGTTCAATTGGTGGCGAAAATCCTATAGGAGTATAATCATATTTCACATCGCTAATCGAACTTACAATAAGTATAGTTGACCTTTTTCTCTTACCATAGTGGATAATTTAACATTTATGGGTTAATTAGTCATATCAAACCCATTGAACCGTTGTAATTTTACTGTTTTTTCACTGTTAATTATTTCATGCCTAAGCGGTGGTACTTAACTATCCAACAAGTCTCTTACGGTTGCCAATACAGTACACTTTTTGCATAAAAATTTAAGAGCTTCAAAGAAAACCAGTAAACATTTGCTCACATGAAATGAGTGAGCGAATCGAATTGATGATGGATTCAACTATTACTCATGGGCTTAATTACAAATTAGCCACGATGTATATAAGTTTGAAAACTTTTTCTCATAACTCGTTTCTACGTATCACACTAAGTAATAATTACTTAATAAAGTCGTGTGTAGAATATAATGTTTGTATAAAGTATTGGTGTACGGTGAGCGACTTTATAGCCAGTAATTTTCAACTGAGGTATTTTTGAATTGTTTGTAGTATTCAATTTCATGGCATCCAAAGGAGTTTCTGTGGCGAGGCTACCTTCTAGCTGATCGTTTACTTTTCCAATTAAGATTTAGGAATTATGCTAGTGGAGTAAAAATCGTTATCGTATATGCTGAGAATTCAATACTGATAGTTCATCTTTAGTCTTTCAAAAAGTACACTTGGATTGGACATATTGTACATGGTTCATCACAAAGTAACTATAGCTATACAGTCATGGTGAACTATATAAATGTTCATAAACCAAATGAGTATTCAATGTTTGACTTGAAACTTACAAAATATAATGAATATATGTAAGTTTACTTTAGTAATAAATATGGTATACAGTTACAATAACTTACAAACAACAAGGTAAATGATGAAGCAGTCTACAAGTGGCACCTGGTTTACCAAGATTCATGCTATAGTATAATAACTTTCCGTAGACTGCAGTTACTAATTCGGCAATTCGATATATTCTTTGAATACCCAGCCATGGATCCGGAATCTGTAAGATTATAATAGAGATATTTCGATTTTAATGTGCGTACATAACACACAACTTTAATTAATATCTCATTATTAGTAATGACTAGAAGGTAAAGACGAATATGGTTGGAAAACAAATAAGTGGTGTATCCCAGGAGTTCATTTTCTGTCGTGTAAAAAGCTTATAAAAAACTTCATCACATAATATCGACAACCTTTTGATCAGTAACTGTGTATTTTGTCTATTCATTTGATTACGTCCGTTAGTTAGCCCTAAACAATCTAAGGTATGGCGCAAATATGTGCCACATCATTGGCACAACAAGAGGATAGTATTAGGGTGCAAACTAAAGGAGCCAAATTAATAGTGGTAATGGTAGTAAAAACGAAAATCAGATAATGTTAAACCCAACACACAAAGGGAAATAAAGAAAGAATACAAGTGGGGGACATTGAAACTGATTTTGAGCCATACCTTCAACCAGAGATTACAACTGCTACGCAAATCTGTACCAGGAAGCCTCCATCTTCATGCTGTTCAGTTCATCAGTCAATAACTTTGTGAACTGAGGATATGTCTTGGAGTGAAGTTCTATACATTTTTCCCAATCTACTATTTTAGCCACATATATATCGGTGTAAGCGAGGGGCAAAAAAACATGAAATATGTTTTATTTGTCTCAGTTGACAAAATTGGCCGTTCCAAAATCTATCGAAAGGTAAATATCCAATCGACAAATTCTCAATCAACCTGTGATAACGCTCTATTTCCTTTAGTTAATCTTATGAAGAATCATTAACAAGTTACGATTTATAAACTGAGACCACCATTTGAAAAATAGTGAACATATATATTAAGTTTTAAACTCGTTAAGTCAAGATTTATGTAAGCACACTCTTACGTAGTACTGAGATTCCAAATGGCAATCAAAGTACCAACCACTTTCAGAATTCTGTGACAGGACGTGAATAAGATTCACTGCGTAAGAATAAATGATATTGTTTGACAGCAGAATGAGAACTAAGAACAGTTAGTCGGTCGTACGCTAAGTAGAGTCTAAGACATACGTTTGTCGGTTCACGTTGCCACACCACATTAACACAGCAGAATGAAATTTTTACGACGAATTTCAGAGCAGTAGACGTAGCAGAAGAATCATCAGTAGTATAAAACATTAGGCAAGGGATATACCACACTAGGAGAAAATATCGATTGGTGGAATGAGAAAAAACTATAAAATAATAGAGAAACTTAAAATCCAGAGGGAGACAAAATGAATGCCCCTGAGCCACTGTAAATGATTCTGAAACACGTCACTTAAAGCCTTTAACTACTGTTTGATAATGATCGGACTGAGCCCCATCAGGTAGTTTGCACCTACCTACATGACAGCCCAACAAACACTGTTTTTGTAGATTGATGCCACGTCTTCCTTTGACCACTCTTGGCTTTTTTCCAACCTATCCTATACTGACCATCATCACCCAACCATCTCAGTTGATAAAGATTTACTGCTTCATTAATCGACTTGCGTAACCTCAGCATTGTTCACTCAATAGTACCACCATACATGAACAATGTTTGTTAGGAAGCTACGATCAAATAGTAGCATCCCCTATTTTCCAAGATAATAGAGTAGAATAGAACGAACTCCTGTGTAGTAACCTCGTTCTTTGGCTGGGAGATAGATGTCTTGCTCACGTCGAAAACCAACCAAGCTTTCTGAATCAGTGTCAAAACTTTGTTATACGCTAAGCTACTAGAGATAATAAGACTTCTAAAATAAGTGAAGTGATCGACACTTTCAATTACTTTAGCCCCTATCATCAGTTCAGGAGCTGATGCAGACCAGTCCTGAAATAATATTTCGCAATTAGTGGAAGAGAAACGCATCTCAAGCCTGGTTGTATCGTTGCTTAAAGTGATCACAAGAATGAATTTTGTTAGCATCTTCACCAAGCACAAATGAATCATATGCGTAAGAGCAGCTGAACTTTTATTTTACTGTGAATAGCATTGATTACTGATATTTGGTTTAGAAGACAGTGTTTTTATCTTCCCATTCATCCTTAATTAATGATCCTGGAAAAACATGAAGAATAAGCAAAGCTTATTTAGGTTTATCTTGAATATAAAAATGAGAGAGATCTACTGACGAATAACCAACTAAATGGTTAGTAAATCATGAAAACGATTTTAATTCAGAGGTAGCCTGGCAACATTTCCAGTGTTTTAAAGACAATAGTAATATCTGACGTTATCAAAACTTTTTGACAAACACATTTGTATGATATTTACAGATTATTTCTAATATAATTTTCACACACAATGTCTTCTCTATACTCGGCGCCCAATTTTTGTTAAACTATCTGTTTTAATATTGTCGAATAATCGTATAAAAAAGTAGTTACCAGAATCGAAAATAGTGACTTGGAAGCTGATAATTAACAAAATTGGGATTTATCTGTTCATTTATTCGTAAAGGACTTATTAAGTATTCAACTATCCATTTCGACATATCACAGGCTTCAAACTTTGTTTCGTTAGCATTTCTTTGTACAAAAAGTGAGTATAGGACAAAATGTTCGATTTTCACTTTTATCAACTATTATCAGTTGGTTGAGATTACTGTTGACTTTTATTCTGTTAAAATCATTGTATGATGGTTAGGTTTACATGTATTGTATAAATTAGGGGTTTATCAATTTAAGGATAGACAAGCACTCTTCAATTCATTGCTGAGCTACCTTATTATAATGCTATTGATTTGGATTGGATTGTTCAGTAGAACATTACGTTATTTAAGTTAATCATTCTGTGATAACAATATTATTTTGTCCCCTTCATTCAATACATTAAATGATAAGTTACGATCACTCATTTTTACAGCTATTTAATTCAACATATGCTATGCTGAGGAACCCTCTACTAGGATGAAACAGTTGCCCTGTGTTCCTTGTTTCTCACTGATTGTTTGGTTAAGGTCAGTCCATGATCCAAACGAACTTTGAATTGGATAGCTTCTCCAAATCTTCACTTTTAATTGAGTACAATTCTTTAACATAATTTACAAAACCTATTCCAGGTTGTTTGCTCTTTCCGCGTCGAAAATTTCTATTTACTGACAGAGGAATTATGGAGATTATTAATAAGTTTGTATTGGAGTGAGATTAGTCAATTTACAAAAAATGTGTTGGTACACAGATAAAACGGTTTTTTGGAATTTATAATTCAATCATAATGAACACAAACAAACTTGGGGTTTAAACTAACGAGGGTAGTTAAAGCATAAATAAGTGTTATTTATAATAAATGCTGTTATGGAGAATTATTCAATAAATAATAAACTAGAAACCTGTAGTAGTTCTTAGAATACAGCCATTTAAATTATTAAAAACCACAAAGGTAATAACCTAATCAATCAGGTCACAACTTACTGTTCATAACCCACTTTTACAATATTTTAAATCTTATGTATATTTTGATGATTTGTTGACTTTAACACTACCTTAGCTTCAGTGTTAATGGAAATTGGATGTATTATATTAAATCAACACTGCTTCAAAAAACCAATTTAATGATCCTGTTGAGAATATCAATCAAATCACTTGTTTTGAAGATCGCAACAACTAGTAGCTCTTAAAGTATGCTAAGCTCTCAGTTACCGATTCGCTCCTATTTTATTAATCACGACTAAATTCAGTTTCTATACCTTAATTTCGGAATGTTTACGGTGAAACAAAGGAAGCTACATGAAAAGTGACTCCGAGTGAGACATGAACAGCTCAAGAACTTGTACACGTAGCTAATAAATTGATTAGAAGAATAACAAATACTAATGAGTAGTATGTAACAAATTTTATTTATGGTTTGCTGGTGAGGCATATGAAATCACTTTTATTGCGATAGCAATAAAAACGGGGAGAATGGAAAAACAGTGGAATAGAACGAGATGATAAGAACTTATTTTTCAAAGAACTAATGTTCACCCAAAATACAGGTGTTATCTACAGTTTAAAAACAACCCAATATAAACGGAAGTGTAAAAAAAAGACTAGGGAGTTGTAAATCAAAAACTTAACCTTTTCATTAAAATATTATATGACATGTTAGCATAGACTACCGTAAATTTAACTACTTATGGGTCTGTGATACTTACCTGGTCACCTTTCACCAAGATATCAACGTTTAAATCTGAAGGAGAAGTATCTTGATATATTAAGCTTAAAGGGATACGATGACCGGTACCAACCCACTGTTTAGTTTGCCATCGTAGAAGAAAGAGGCCTGCGACTATATCACTTGCGACTAAGTCTACATCCTTTATGTGCAAGACATGGAAAAAAGATGAGATAAAAATAAGAGCAACATCAAATTTTCTGTTAACAAAAATCCAAAACTGTGTCATATGATCAAAAATACTTTTAAGAGTGAGTTTTAAGAAAATCATCCATACCGTCGACAGACAAACAGTGACATAGCCAGAAGTTGGATTGATTGACAACAAGAGGTTGTTACAAATTAAACCAGATATCAAAAGCGATAACATTACGAAATATAAATACAAATCATAAAAGTGAATAGGGACTGTCAAAGAAAAAATTATTAGTAAAACGACCAAAAATAAGATATAGATTAATCATGTAGTGAATTAAGTAGCCGCAATACTGATAATCTACCTTTCACCATCGTCAAAGAATTAAACATCGGACACTAATTATCGTTAAAAGTTTAGTTCAAAATTTTCTCAGAGGTGCTAATAATTTGACTAAAAGAGACTTGATTGATAAACACATTTATCATGGAGTGGTTAATGGGGAATAATATCTCTATCACCATTCAAGATTCAAAGGAGATAGATAACTGAGAAATTTGTGTACTTGATCAGTGTAGTTAGAATATAATGTACGTGTAGGTTATATAATGAATTCAAATTTATTATTATTTTTCATTTATTTATTATTAATGGCTTTATTCAATATTATATTTTGGTAGAATATAGAATTCTCAGCACAATACGATGACTTGTGCCAAATTTATGCATCGAATCTGACTAGGAGATATAGAATATACAACTTAAAGCAATGTCTGTACACTCTAGTCTGAGAATAAACGGTATTTGAGAACATTTAGTTCACAACTACCCTTGTATTAACCCTGTCACTGTGAATGTGATCACTAATATTCGTCTGTATTTATGCCTTGAATAAGCTGATTGGACGAGAAAACGAGACGTCAAAAATCCATTATTTTCATTTTACCTGGATTTCTCAAACAATTATCATCTCAAGTATAAGTGAATCCTCGTATGAAGTTTTGGATTACTACCTGTTGTCTATATATAGCCTTTAGGGATGGAGAACTAGAAGAGTACATTTAAATAGCATTTTGTCATAGACCCAATTAAAATTTTTCTTTTAGATGTGATTAGCAAAAAAGATTGTGTTAAAAAGCTCGTTTATGTAGTTTTATGAAGATTTTAAAAGTATCTGAACACAACCACCATACACCCAAATCTTAATTTCTACGTGTGCACGCATCATGCAAAACATGGGAAACAGTTGTCATGTCGATAAGATTGCATTGATAGTCTATAACATAAAAAGGGAAATGTTCACAAATTTAAATGAACACATGATATACTTTGTATCGAAATGAACCCTTTCAAATAGTCCACTATTCATTTCTCAGGCATGAGAGATGAACAATGTCGGTGATTGAACGACAATTAAGGAAATAGTCTAAAGTGACATGTTTTCGGTTTCTTATCTTTTAGCGTGACCTGAGGCAACATGCCTTCATAAACGAAAAAAGTCTGTCCTGACTAACTGTTATTCGGCTAGTAGTACAAAGTAATATTGAAATTCCATTAGTTTATTTTCAGTTTAATCGTCAAAAAATGGAAAGACAATTGGAAATGTATGATTATGAAGAAAAAAGAACTTAGAGAACTGTTTTCAATTACTTGATGAGTTTGAACTTGATATCCCAATCAAAGAGAAAACAGCGCATGTCACGAAGACAGATTGGTTAGCACTTGTTTATAGGATATTCCTGAACAGAAAGAGGTAAGTATACGAGCGTTCAAGTGTTATTTGATACACAACATACACTCTGGTTATTGATAGAAAATAACGAACGCCTAAAGAAAGCACAACGTCACAATCTAAGCAAAGTCACTGTTTTTTTACATGAGAAATTACATTATGACACGATTCCCATGGAAAACTAATCGTATTTCAATGACTTGGTAACATGTGATACATGCATACCCGTCAAATACAGTACATCAAAATAGTCCGTCTTACATGCTGATTCTGAGTAAAAATGGTTGAGGCACAACTAACCAAGTTGGTAGAAGAAAAAATACGTGAGAACGCTCAGTAATTCAAAATGTCTCTTATCATTTTCGTATCACTATGGACAAAAAATTAGGTCCAAAACTTTATCCAGTACATAATGCCGTATCCCTGTCAGCCGTATCTAACGCTGATAATAGCAAGGGGATATACTTTAAAATTGGCCATATTTTAGTCTGATATATATGTACCCTTTTGACTATGGTATATCTTTTTTAAAGCTTCTATTTTCTGTTCATAGTCGGTGAATTTTCTCGTTGTTGGTGAAAGAAGAAAACCATCTCAATCCATCTTTTCAAACTAAACGTATAGAGATAGTATTGCTCAATCACTACATCTTCTTGAATCTTGTCATCAATCATATTTTGGAAACAAAACTGAGGAGAATGAGTGGAAACAGTGTAAATCTGTTACATAGAGCAATATTTTCCAACCTTCAGTATGCAGACAATATCGTCTTAATTACAAGATAGATAAATCTCAATCAGTTGAATAGTTCTGACAATTATGCTATGAGCCTTGGGCTGACGAACCGCAAAGGACTCGCTGTCATAGAAGTTTCAAGTGACTTTCTATTATAGACAATTTTTTTACGACGACTGCTTAATTGTAGTCGACAACTGTGGAAACTGTAAACGGTTCGACGGTACGTTGTAAGTCAGACTTTACCAAGCCCCAATATAAACAACATTTTAAGTATAGGTGTTAACCGTAATCAGAGAAACGACAATCCGTCGTTAAATTTCCACATTTCTATATGCATTTATATTAGCATAATTTTTCCAAAAAATGATTGTTTCTAGTTAGAAACTAGAAAAGACTCATCTGATTTAAGCCATATTCGAACCTGTAATTGGGTGTATTACATACGGAAATACAAACAGAAACAGTACGTTGTCATAACACATCAACGTAGAGATAACATCTGTGTCATTTCATCTGCCAAAGACTCAAAACCATACATCAGATTTTAAAAAATGTGAGCAAATTTAAAAGTACACGAAATTCACAAGAACTCTGCACATACGTAAAATATGTCTGAAAACAAAGCCGCTGCGGAAGTGATTATTGTTTTATCAGTTTGCATTGTTGACCGATCAGTTTTACAAAAAGGTAAGCGACGAAAGGCCCGTAAACATTCCAACTTCCGTTGAACAGCCTTTCTTCGCTTAAGCATCACTAACTGCTTCGTGGAAAGATTAACATTTGGATTCAGACAACCCTGCTTGAATACAGTAGGGTCGTTAGTCAATCGGCTCCAAAAGGCACCAGCCTTACGATAGTGTAACATTAGAAAAAAGTAGAAACCAATTACATGAGCTACCGCAATGGCGTTCCCTGCTATATAGCAATCAACAACCTGAAATTAGATGTATGAGTAAAAATATTTCGAAAGTTTACAAGCAATTAAATAAATGGAATTTCTTTACAATATAGAAGGAGTAGAATACGAAGGATTACTTTTCCTATCAATATGGACAAGTTAAATCCATACTACTTTAAAAAAACAGAAGCAAAACTCATATATCTAAAATACCTCATGGAATTACATTTAAAACCCTCCGAAAACGATCTTTACTTAACACAATATATGTTTACATCGTTTTACTGTTTTATCAGCCTGGCTATCTAAATTACGATAATGCAAAAATTGAGGATCACAAAGCGGAAGGTCCTATAAATCTGAGTAGACAGTGACAAAATAAGATAGTTAAGGGAAATGTATAAAGCCTAAACTGGAAAACCCATCAAGCACGTATAGAGTTTCTATTATGTAGTTAGTTTTTTTTATAATAAAGAATTACCTCTTAATGGTTGTCTGAGAGTTGAACGTTAGTGAGAACTCTTGGTTTATACACTATCTATGCACTAAGTCAAAGAAAATCTGAACTAAGTGTGATAATAAGGTAAGATATAGTTTTGAAGCTTCGGAATTGATTGTATACAAACATTATGTTACGATAAGGATGGAGGACTTTAATGGAGTACTTTTTATTTAAAAGTCACACCAGTTAAATAGACATATTTCCTCTCACTTTTAAAAGTTTTTACAAGTAATAACAATAGACATTAAGACAGTATTTTGGGACGAAAATAGGAAAATAGTTAACGTTAACTTACCTAACAATCTAATCTACCTGTAATTTATTTTTGAATACTGCCCTAAACGATTTGAAGAGGAAGGCTAAACGAGATATATGGGTTAAAATTAAAGGGATTCAAGGACTTAAAACCCATGATAATACAGCTGAATCAATCTAATGATGAGACATCTTGATAACCAAACTCATTTCCCAAATGCCCTGGTATGGCCAAGAGTGGGGTCGGCCCACCATCCTCTCGAAATGTTCTCACACGGCCACGCATATACAGCCTCTGCAAGGGAAGTCCTACTTACTACCTTCTCGTGGCGGGAGTGTTGTTTACGAAAGTGAGAGGACGAAAAGCGAATGTTCAGCGATTTAACCGGATCCCAAACCAATGATATACATGGGTTCCGGTATCCTGAGGGAACAAATGACATATGAACCAATCGTTGGTCACCGGCTACCATGGGACTGCATCTCCTCACGATGGTCCACTGCCTTGCAGGTTAGACCTTTAGGTCGAAGGCTTCGAGTGTGGTCCCCTAAGAAAACAACCTGCTTCGGACTGGGCACCAGGTCAGTATCACAGCCCACACACAAACAGAATGAAATGACAATACTTAGGGAAACTACTATACTTGCTTCGATTAACAGACAAACGATTCACGTTATTATTATTTACTACGTCATTTATTCGCTCTCTTTTATTCCCACCTTATGTATCCTTATTTTTCGACTTATAGAGCAGCTCGCCTATGGTGGAAACTCGGTTCTATCTAAACGTTCTCGAGTCACTGCCTGGTTGAAATTTGTATGCTACCACAAAATACGAATACTGAAACGGTCTTTCTGAAACCACGTGCACCATTCTAACTGGCTGCCTTCAACGTTCGCACACTTATGCAGGTTGGACAACAGATAGGGCTGGCTATGTCTTTGGAAAGTCTTAATATCGACGTTTGTTGTCTATCCGAGACCCGTATTCAAGACTCTGATGAAGTACTAAAAATTCGCTCTCCATCTGTCGCTTCAAAAAGCTTGTTTTACGTGCGTTTATCAGGGGACCCTGTGGCATCTTCGTCAGGTCTTGTTGGCGTTGGTGTCGCACTAAGCGCTAGAGCTGAGGCAGCACTAATCGACTGGATCCCCATTAACAGTCGGTTATATGCTGTTAGATTAGAGAGTTCCATCAAAATGAGAAGGAATCGGCGTGAGAAACGATATCTTCGTCATCTCCACCTATGCTCCGACAGATTGCAGCCCGGATGCATTCAAGGATGAATTCTACCACCAGTTAACTGTTCTCCAGAAAGTGCGTTCGACAGATATTGTAGTACTAGCCGGAGACTTGAATGCTCAGGTCGGGCGTCTAGGCACAGAAGAGAATCGTCTAGGTGGCCGATGGGGACTCGTTGGTCGCAGGACAGATAACGAGGACTGTCTACTGCAATTGTGCACAGACCACAACCTGTTCCTGGCTAGCACTAACTTTCGGCACAGTCATCGCTGATGTGCCACCTGGCGTCCTCCCACTGCATCCCAAGCCTGGACTCAGATTGATCACATCGCGATCAGCTACCGCTGGCGTGGTTATGTACAAGACTGCCGCTCCTTTTGGAGTACCTATCTGGACTCTGACCATGCCTTGGTCTGCGCCAATCTTGCCTTACTTTTCAGTGGACAACGAAGTGACCGCCAGCAAAGGATTGATATTAGCAAGCTGGTTGCAACTTCTGTTGCAAATAAGTATCGAACCGAGCTAGCCTCTAGGCTAGCTACCACTCCACCGAAAAGTATAGATGAGCATTGGTTGCAATTGCATGACGTCATGAAAATGGCGGGAACAGTCAGCTGTGGGTTTGCGAAACGTCCCGCTTATAAGCATTGGGTTTCTTGTTCCTTACAACTTATTGAAGCCCGTCGGTCTACTCCGGGTGACCGTGAGTTTGACCATAAACGAAGGATGTTACGTAAGGAAATTGGGCAAAGCTTGCGTAAGGACCGAAAAGCCTGGTGGTCGGAGCGTGCTAATGAGCTGGAAGCAGCAGCTGCATCTGGTAACTACCGGAAGCTCTTCCAGCTCATCCGAGCCACTGGCAGCAAGAAGTCTGGTGTGAGTGAAACAATCTGCGAGGATGATTGGATGCCAATCACTAACATCCATCGACGTCTTGGACGATGGGCAGTTCAACTGGCCTGCTGCTCCGGCAACATCGGTCAGACTGTCCTACCCTCCATGGCCGGTGACGACTGATCCACCAAACGAGGAGGAAGTCCGCAAGGAACTCCAACTCTTGAAACGTTACAAATCGCCTGGCCCAGATAACTTACCTCCGGCTCTTTTTAAAGATGGTGGTGACTTTTTGACTAAGGAATTGACGACGTTGTTTACAAAGGTTTGGGAACTAGTGAGTGTACCAACGTCATGAAATGAGTCGATAGTTGTCCCTATCTTCAGAAAGGGTTCACGTCGTTCCTGTAACAACTATCGGGGGATAAGTCTACTTCCGATTGCGTCCAAGCTATTGGCTTCCGTCATACTTCGTAGGTTGTTCAAAACCCGAGAAAGATTGACTCTCGAGGAGCAGGCTGGTTTTCGTTCTGCTCGAGGATGTATTGATCATATCTTCACCCTCCACCAAGTGTTAGAACACCGTCATACTTATCACAGACCAACAATCGTAGTGTTTCTTGACATCAGGGCTGCCCTCGATTCGTTGGACAGGACTGTTCTCTGGGATTGTCTATTGAAGAAGAGTGTGCCTGAGACGTTTATTAACATCCTAAAAGCTCTATATACAAACACCTCAGGCAGAGTGAGGGTATGCAACCACCTCTCTCTATTGTTCCATTCGAGCAGTGGGGTTAGGCAGGGTTGTCCAATCTCACCATTCCTCTTCAACTTTGCCATCGATGAAATTCTGGAAACAGCTCTGATAGATGTAGGTAATGGCGCTGTGGATCTGTTGCCTGGAGAAAAACTTCTTGACTTTGAGTGTGCAGATGAGATTGTCTTACTGTGCGATAATGCCCAAGACATGCAATCCTCACTTAATCAGTTGGCAATCAGTGTCCGTAGGTATGGCATGTGCTTTTCACCTTCGAAGTGCAAAGTACTTCTACAAGACTGGCAGGATTCTAATCCTGTACTCACCCTGGATGGTGAGCAGATAGAAGTAGTCGAGAATTTTGTGTATCTAGGTAACTGCATAAGTGTTGGTGGTGGCGTGAGTGATGAGGTCGATGCACGTATAGTGAAAACTAGAGCGGCTTATGCCTACATGGGCCATCTTTGGCGCCTTTGTGATGTCAGTCTGGCTGTAAGACGTCGGATCTACAACGCATCAGTGGGAGCAGTCCTGCTCTATGCTTGTGAAACCTGGCCTCTCCGAGTTGACAATGTTAGACGACTCTGTGTTTGATCATCGCTGTTTCCGAAGGATTGCTGACACCCAGTGGCAACACCATGTTTGTAATAAAGAGGTTCAGCATCGTGTGTTCGGGCACAGAGACGATAATGTAATCGGTGTCACTATCTTGAAACACCGACTTCGGTGGCTTGGACAAGTCCTACGAATGTCGTCCCAGAGAATTACACGTCGTGCATCATTTGCCGACGCTAGGACTGGTTGGAAAAAGTGGTGAGGTGGTCAGTGTATGACATCGTATCGAGGTATGAAAGAAAGCTGCAAAGAGCTGGCTTCTGTTGGTCCTTCACGACTCCCTGGCTGGGGTCCTAGAGATGGTGCTACACAGTGGCTAGAGACGTTATCGGATATGGCTCAGAATAGAAGCTAGTGGCGATTCTGTTGTAACCTTCTTTTACTTTCTTCATAAAAAATGGTTGTTTCTTCCTTAACTGAAAGATTTCTTCTGATTGTACCTTTGCGTTTCCCCCATTATTACTATTATTATTACAGTACCTTACAATAATCTGTTCGTTATTGTTCTTTTTTACGCTCCTTACCTTCTTTTTCTCTTCGAATCCTCATTGTTTTGTGTGGCACATATATATTTGGTTCCTTCTTGTACCAATATTTATGTGTTCAAATAAATAAATAAATCCTAGAGCCTTGTATGACAACAAACAGTGGGCCAATATAAAAAAAGACATTGTAAAAACCAAAAGATATTTTTACTTAGACACTGTTTAGGTCCTTCGGAAACATAAAGAACAGAACTTATTGCCCCAATACCCTCTGGTTCCGGCAATAAGATCTTAGAAACACGAAACTAAAAATATTTCTCAGAAATGGTCATTTCTAAGCAGTTT